GGATAAAGTATATAAGATAAGTTCGTAACACATGGGTTGACAAAATTGACCGCTAGAGTGATTTTTAACCGAAATTAAATATTTTTTTGACTAAAAAAGGTGCTGTTATGCCTAATTTTCTTCGTTCGTCGTGTTCATTTTCTCTTGGTCAACCAATATGAATAGAAGATAGTTTTGATTTTGAAGTTGAAACTAATGCGATAAACAATTATAACAAAAATTGTGGATCCTACCGTTGCGTCTTATTTGGCTCACGTGCCTTTAATTTGGTCCATATGAGAGTTACATAAAGGTGAATTATCACCACGTATGTACCATAGAGTTACATAATTAATTTAGAATTGTGCATCTATGTACCATATACTATAAGCCATATCTAACGCTGTAATTTTTTTTAATGCTAACTAAATCATTTTCGTGTTTATCTTTGGTGTGTATATACATGGAGTTTAATTGATGACTAGCCAAAAAAAAAAAAAATTAAACTTTAAAACTAACCAAAACTCTCTTATATCATAGCCATTAAAGGTTTTGGTTAGTTATTAAGTTTAACTTTTTCTTTATTATAATTGCCAAATTTCCTTAAATTTATCTATTTGTGGTCTCACATCAATATTTAATCAAATTTTCAAATATTTAATTTTTTCTTGTCCTATTTGAATTAAGTTTATTTTTACTATTTTGTTATGCATATATCTTTAAGTTTTAATTTCTAAGTCTCGATGAATTTAAGAAGTCTCTATAGATACTTAGCTAATTTACTCTTTTTTATTTATTTATAATATGTAAGAAATCAAATACAAAAAATAGAAAAAATAGACAACCCGTGAAAGTAAATATAAAAGTAAACACATAAGCTTGAAATGGTTATATTTATTTGATATCGTAAACTAACTAATCAAATAGTTATATTTATTATTTTTAATGTATGAAATAGTGTTAACTAAAGTTTTAGAATATAATAAAGATTTGTATTATGATAAGTTATAGTAGAAAAACTTAAAGAACACACTTCATTTAGTTTAAAAAATCCAATTTGTGGTATAAAAATGCATGTTTAAAATTGAGTTTTTCTTAGTTTATGTAATATATATATTTTTTTATTTTTATAAACTCTATAATTTAAAAAAAGAAGAACAAGGGGTATAAAATCGTATGTTTAAAATAGTTCATGTTGAATAGTTATTTTTATCATTTTAGATACACGTAATTAACTTTAATGATTTGCTAAGTTGAACAACATGATGTTAAAAACGACGGCGACCAATAAAAGGTCGCCGTCGTTTTTAACAATAAAAGGAATAGAAAAACTAGTTCATGTTAGAAATTTGAATGATGTTTTAGCATTTGGCATGTATCCACTCGAAAATATTTTAGATGGATAAAGGCCATTTTTTCATATATATATATAAACATAGAGGAGATTGGAAAACTTCGGTAGCAATCCACTAATTTCCATATATCCACTTGGTAGTACTGCAGATTTTTTCATCCTTCTCTTAATATTAAACAAACAATAGATGTGACATTGTAGTCTAGTAATGAATGTTAAATCACACGATAGTTGTTGACACTGGACAGCGATTAGTATTATCTCTAAATAGACTACTTATTCTAACCACTGATCTATTATCAATGTTGAAATCATATTCCACTTACTTCTCGACTCTGGCTATTCTATATATACGTTTGTCAGCAATAAAATCTAATATATCAACTATGAGCTAATAGTTCAACTAATAAAATCTCAAACAAATCTTTGAGATTGCTGGATTTGGTTTTGAGCTAATAGTTCAAAAGTGGTGGCTTTTGAGACGAAACTACTATTTTAGGGGGAATATATCATCTGTATATCAGAATTTA